ATTTCAATCGATACCCATTCGGATACCTGGCGTCCGATATCGTAATCGTAGCCCGATTCGGCGCGCGCAATTTGATCCATTACGTAGTTGTACGCTCACAAATCTATAATTTGCGTGTCGAAAAATGGGCGTATCTCCGAATATGTTCCTTATGACAACACGCCACGGTGTTAGGCCGTCGAAAGAGATCGGAAGGGGAGCGCGCCCCCCTCCGCCGCCGCGAACGGTTCAGCTAATCACTCGAAAAACTTTAATTAACTATAATCAACCGTTGAACGTGAAATACCCAAAGAGCGGGCCGGTACGTCCGTTACATCGCAACTTCTCTGTTAACACGAGTACGCCCGGCGTTGGCATGTGAGCGCCGCATTACCGGCCGATTGGGCGAACGCAAATCCGATATTAGCGTATCGTTTCGAAGAGGAAACGAATTCGAATGTTTGTGATAAGAGGGGCATCGGGAAGGGGGCGCTCAGAGGGGCTAATGAATGCAACCTAATGACTTCACGGAAATAAACAATGGGAATACACAGTGGAAAACACACCGAACTAATGTTAGCCATTAGAGATTACTTTTAATAACAGCTTAATATGCTTCTACCTGGCGACAAGCGACAGGCTCGGCACAGTATAGGAACAGAAAAATTTTAGATAACCTTTTTGGCCTCTTCTTAGGGTTATCACTCATTTTTTTTTTATGCGAAAAGTTGTCAAACGAGCAGCCGGTTCACCTGATTTAATTGAAATACGGTTAATTCAATACCGCCGACCATGGACATCTGCCACACCCGAGGGATACAGATGCGTTGACCTTTTGAAAATTGGGCTCCGGCTACCTCACTCACCAGACGAAACGCGAAAATATTTGTCATACTTCCACTTTACGCTGGTCTTCTGTGAGGTTGAGGTTCTGTGGGCAAATTCGTGCAACAGCCGAGACTGCTGCGTGGCCCTACCACCGTAATGTCATCATTATAATCATTATAACTTCTTGGCTTTTTTTAGAAAGCCCTTATGTTATCTGTATTTAAATATTGGATAGATGTAATGGGATCGATGTCGAGTTTAAAATTAAATAGAATGGAAACCATTCTTGGAATTATTTATAGAAACAATAGCTTTATTAAATGAAGAAAAGTTATTATGAAAAGAAGAAAATTTTCCATTAAAAATGACACAGTAAAAGTAATCGAAAATGGCCAACTTACAATAATTACCATTATAAAAAAGCAATTTAAAGAACACAATCGGACAGTGTAGGAATGTACCGAAAATGCCTAATTGCCATTACATATTTAAAATGGCCGTCTTACACGTAACGTAGGTCAATAAACGTTCGTACAGTCGCACACGCAAACTCTAATAGTGTCTAATTAATTTATAACATGTATTAAACAATTAAGAGTACGGTATCTTGATGCATTAGTTATTGTTATTGAATTCGGTACGGCGTATACGCGCTCTTCGGGCAATTGACTTACCTTCGTAAGTTAATTAATGGGTGCGCCTCATCACGCGATGTTCAGTAATTGGACGAGATAGAGGCTTACCTAACAGTTTCCATTTTTCGCCTTTTACTCGTCAGCTCGGTAATTTCGGTTTCATTTCTGTATTTTACCGACGATAGTTTTAGTTGATAATTTTGTTATAAACCGGACGTGTATTACACTAACCGCGAACATTATTGAATGCAACTATTTTCCCGAATTCATTTTATATTTCAATTGCGGACGTTTCGAAAACGTTGCAGTTTTGTTAAGTATGGGCCGAACTGAGGCGTTGGACGAACGAATGTTATAGTTGAACCGAGCTGCGGTCAGTTTTTAAAATTGCTTAACTTCCCTAACCAAACGTTAATCTTTCTTCCGATCCACGCAGAAAGTGCTAATTGAATCTTGAAATCTTGCAGCGGTGGTACGCTAGCCTGGGTGTAATTTTATTAATTATAGGATCGCACTCTAATGGTATATCGTCGAACAGTGTTCTTATCAGGAACTCTTTCGCCCGGTTTCTGCTGTCAAATGGCTTGTCACATTTTATTTTAGTTGCCAAAAGGATGGTTAAACGGTCTGAATTGACCATAATGATCTTCTTAATGAAAATGATGATACAATCTGCTTTGTTGGATGACATTTTCGCATTATGTAAGAGTTTTCGGTGTACGTAAATTCTAGAAATTATACATAAAGCAAATGCATATCTCCATGCATATTCTCAGTCAACTAGTTAACGGCCATCAGGACAACAATTCCTAACGAACGTTGATAGTCTGTAGGTTACAATTCCTCCCCTATTATATAATGCAAGTTTGAGCACATACTTGGTTCATCCCACTAGGAGGCCCGTATTAAACTAGTGGAGTCTGGCTTTCTCACGACCTCTGCGCTCAATGAAGCTTTAATAGTCTACGGTCTGAAAGAGAAAATACCGACTACCTGTACCAGGTTGGAGGAGGACTACCAATACGAGGTTTTCCAAATGGACCCAAATGGTTATCTACTCCCTGAACACAGATGTTGCAGATGGTACAATCTAATTCAACCACCCTTTCACTCTTTTCTTAAAAACAAGAAGACACTGTATGATCTCCGCCTTCTCTATAAGGGTTGAAAGTCGTGAGATCTTGTATTTATATATCCTTAAGTATATTCGCATTTGCCTCTCAAATATTCGGATGGCTATGGCACACTTCAATTACTTGTTAACAGAAAAAAGTCTAAAAATTACGTAAAAAAAACGTAAAAATAGCCTAGAGTGCAGTCTTCGATTATTTTTTGTCAACTGTTTTTGAGCGCAGTGTTGTGCGCTCGATCCCTACACAGCATAAAAGTTGTGTTATCCATAAAAGCTTGTTTGTGGTTCACACAACGTTTGTTGTCGAGCCTTCGTGTAGTTTGCGTAAGTAATTTTTATGTTTGTGAAATCTCCCGCTACACATTAATCATTTTTCTAGAACAGGATTCGTTTCTTTAGAAAAATTGTTATAGGCTATCTTAATTACTAGTGCTTGCTCCTTATACTCCTGTTTATGTAACGATCACTCCAAAATTTTATTTTATTTCAGTAGAGCATTATTAACACTCAATACACGGTGATTTGTTAAGATTAAATGCACCCTGTAAAATTCGATCATGCACTTTAGACGCTACAAATTATAATCATCACAATACGGAAAGTAGTCATTGAATATTTTAAACTATGGAATAAAGTAATCCTTGGATATAAAACACTAGAAGATATCGAACACAGGCCAATTTTGAAACACACTTTTCAAATCATATTAATGATTGACATGTCGAAACACGGACGGTTGTGCGCACATGTTGCTTCCCCGCCGCCATTACGTTTCTGGGGCACCTTTGATATAATTGTGAGTGTTGTGGCGATTGACGCACCGAGCGAGACCGCACTGTTTACCCGAAATTTTACGTGCTATAGGATTTATTTAAAAATGTTATGGTCAGATATGCATATATTGTACGTGAATAGCCTGACAGGCTGTGGGGGAGGTATGTTAAGTAGTGGACTCAAAGACTGAAATGATGATGATATAGAATATATATATATGTTTTTACTCCATGTGTGCTTGTGAACTTGAATATTAACAAGTATTATAACGACAACTGCACTAGTGGTTATATCACCGACCGGGAACGCGGCCGAAATCCAAGTGACCGCTGCTCCATCCGACCATGTGTCCCCTTGGCTCGAGTCATATCCGATATACAGTGTTGCCAGCGCCAACATGCATAATATAGTAGAGAAACACTGATAATTTTAGAGTTTTCTAATGCGATATCGAAAACAAACATTCAGCATTGCACCCGTGCAAAGCCGGGGCGGGTCGCTAACAGTATCAAATGAATAATTGACGGTCAAATGTTGCATTTAATTTGTATAATGGTAGTAATAAGTAATAGGACTTTAGAAGAAGATAGCGACGAGGAAAAAATTACATCGTCAATGTGTGTTAAAACTAACAGTCATGATTATAACTCGGCCTTAATGCCTCAATTCCTAAGTAATTACACCATAGAATTAGATGAAAATTGATCGGAACAAGCACAATGATAAATCCATCCGTACATAACAAACGAAATTAGGAATCGTCTGCGTTTGGAGCACGGGCAAATGGAGGAACGATTGCCAATTTACCAACCCTACCTTGTCTTAATTGGTGCCGACTACTGCTTAAACTAGCGCGGGTAGGTAGCGAAAGTAATTTGTCATCGGTTAGCTAAGCAGGGGGTGGGGGCAGTCGCGGGCCGACCGCCGACGCGGCAGCACCTCTCCACGCTAATGACATCCCCGCATAATTAGGAAGCGCCACCGTCAACTAATTACATAAATTGCCTACTGAACCTGGCAATAATTACGCCGCCGTTAAGGTTTATATCGAACAGATTGCGCATTCCCAAGAGTGCCTATGATGTTTTTCTAACTATTGATTTTTTTACTACATATAGACAGATAAGAGACGGACGAAAGAATTAAAAAAAATAGATTTCCGAATCTACCTATGCGTCAATCCAACCTAGGTATAGGTTACGACCACTTAATGTTAAAACTCTTATTCATATACGCTTATCTAAACGACTACTGTTTAGATATATTATTTGGTTATTGCTATCATATTTCTATATTATGAAAATCAATAAGAGTTTCTACTCTTGACAGCCTTCAATTCCGCGCTATAAGTTGAAAATGCCTTTAATGTATAAGTTACTGGTATATTGTTCTGGCTTTAAATTTAACTAAAGACCAGACCAGACTTCAAAAAGTACTTGAAAATTAGGGCGCCTACAAGCCATAATAAATATTTACGTCTCTAAACTATAATTAATAAATGTAAAGATTTGGCGCAGAGATTCGACGAAACTCGAATTGTTAGTCAGACATTTCAGTTACTAGGCCATCGCGGCCTATTGAGTGAAACCAAAACGATTGACTTATTTTCTATATCGCAATAATTTTTATATTTGAATTTTGCATTTCAACAGACCAACCCACTATCAGTCAGTCTTCGGGCAACGTTGTCGACGGAATCAACTTGGAGGACATCAAGGAATTCGCGAAAGCCTTCAAACTGAGGCGGCTTGGCTTGGGCCTGACCCAAACACAAGTGGGCCAAGCGCTCTCCGTCACGGAGGGTCCCGCTTACAGCCAAAGTGCAATCTGCAGGTGAGATTTGTGAGAATAAGTGAGATCATCTTAGACAGATCCATTCAAGACTCTTTATAACATCAAATATGAAAACGAAGTACTTAATCACGTCTTAAATAAACGTCTTAATGATACGCTTATCTGTTAATCATAAGAAATAAAGCCGCACGCTTGTCTAAACGAGTTCATTATGCTTGCAGTGAATGAAAAAATAAAACGTTACCGCTCTAAAAAATTTCGTTCCAAAAGTTTCATAATCTACTTTTATTTTTTATTATCTGCAAACAGCACAGAGTCAACACGTTAACAATTAATTCAACACATCATAGTAATAAAGCGGAGGCAAATAAAGTCGAGCGCTTGTCAAAGTAATTCGCGGACGATCCCTTGGGCGCCAGCGGAAACCTTTTTTTTTAAATAGCAACGTCGTCACGCAGCGCAAGAACAGTTATCACACCAACTTTTTAATATCGTTAATTGAAGTGATTTGTAAAACAGCATGACTCCTTTCATTGCTTACAATTCGTTTAATTAATTACATTTCGGACGGCTTCCGTTCCGTCGGCCGTCTCGGGGCTTAAACCATTTTTTATTAGGCGCGGGCGCGTGCGTTCTAATTCCGTCTTATTCATAATACGTTCCCTTTTTTTTGTACGCCCTATCTATTTCTATCTATCGCTGAATAAATCTGCATGCGTTTGTTTATTAATTGGCCGCATATTTTATTTTTTAAATAATTTGTTGTCATTCGTAAATGTGTATTTAATATATATGTACCGATTTGCTCAAAAAGTCTGCCACTTTGTATACACTTTTTATTATTTCTTCTCGATCAATCACAGTCGCACGTAAGCGCGGTACTGCTTATATTATATTGACATATGTAGGGCAGTAACATTTTGAAGTAACAATACAAAACGTCAATTAACTCAGTGCGGCCATATTAAAAATATGTTGCTGTTTCCTTTGAACATTCAAGGCGACTGAACATGGGCGATAAAACTTAATTTTGATTCGAAGCCCCAGCGATGTACAATTTGGCTGTAAAAGAGTTTAATTAAATGTAATGAAAATGATTCGGAACGGCTTTTTTCACCATCAAAACGTAAATACTCGACGGGGTCGAACCGGTCGAAGGGAATTTCAATCGGGCAACCCCGCCAACATCCTTCGTATAATAAAATCATTAATCGTTACTTCTGTTCCAGTTAATTAATTATCTTGCCGTAATTACTTTTTTCGTGTAATTAAAAGAGTAGAATTCCCCTGTCTTTGTTCGCGTCGTGATTTCATTTTCCATTAATTTTTCTTTCGACTCCCTCCAATTTAGTATCGTAACGAAGCTACACGGTGCCCACCCCTTTGATTACGTCAGAATTAACTTAATTATAAATAGAAATATGTTACTTGTAGTTACAATGAGTGTTGCTATTAAGCTTTTCTTTTGTGTACTTTTAATTCGTTAATTTATATTAACAAATATGTTAAAGCGATATTAGGAATCTTACGCGTTGGATACTTATCAAAAGAATAATTTAATAGATTCAATGTGAATGATGGTGATAGGAAAAAAATTTAATGCATTTTTCAAATCGTAATTTTTTATTATCATTTAACCAACCTTTTAAGGCTGTTCATCAGACATATAACTAATATATAAATACGTTATTATACGTCTAGTAAATAGTGTTTTTCAAAGCTATCTCGCCTCTGAATATAATGTTTGCCTTGCTATATGTATTCTTTGAATACCACAACTCTGCCTGAGAAGATATAGAGCTTTTTAAAGATTAACACCTTCACCTTAAAATAATGCTGTCTATCGACCCGTATCTATAAACAAATAAAAGCTTACCGCTTCAATAAGAGATCAAATCAGTCGACTGAGATCAAATCCAACGAAGCATTGAAACTACGAGTTCACGCATTGTCTATTCACGATATACAAATGTTAATAGTTCGATGCGTCCACGGTCATTGTCACTAAAGTGACCGATCACAAATATTGAATTAAGCATGGGCTGGACCTTGTGCTCTGCTATTACAATTTCATGAGGGCCCGGCCACGCAGTAAGACAAAGGCTGGCGATAGATGAACGTATGTATGCGGCATCTAAAAAATGTATAAAGTCAAGAGTAAAAATTTCTAACAAAACGTTTACGAATCAAGTGTGCGGCTTTATGTTTAAATATAGTCTTGATTGGAGCTCAATCATCCATTAAGCGATGGATTTATTTCACTGGAACAAAACAAGTCTAATGCATTATTTGTTACCGTCCCCAGTGCCCTGGCTTCGCAGATGCTAGCAGCTCAGCTGTCTTCACAGCAACAAAACATGTATGTGTTTTGTTTTTTACTCCCTTACACACATCGGCTCCCAAATTATCTTCATTAACGCCGGCCCGATCAGATACGTCTCCATCGACATTTGAGATACGCGCGCCATGAAGATAAGTTGGGAGACGCTCGCATTAAGCGCACGCTTTGAGGCACACCCGCGGGCCCAGTCCGCGCGTAGGCTGTCTTTAAATCAAAATGTTTCAACGCTGTTTAATGTATCATCCCATCGCGATCGCCGATCCGTGCACGCATGGAGGTTCGCCGCGTTATTACGGATAATTACACTTTTTGGCGCTCCCCCTCTCGATTTTCACACGTATACGGTATTTACATACGGATAATTAAAGCAAGAAGTCGCTGTGCACCAGCGCCGTATAACATTTTGATGTTCAGACAAAGGTGCTACATTAACCCACCCGCCGCCACACCATGTCGATCCGACGGCATGAGTGATTGTTGTGAGAGTTTTATCAGATTTATTATTGTAATGTCTCTACGTCACTTGTAACTTTCCATCTAATCTGGCATGATGTATTGTTTCATTACTCTTTTTTTTTGTAATATCACTTTTTTTTTCTTCATTATAACCCGTTTCGCGCAATTCAAAGCCAGGGCATTGGCATACGTTACCTTTCGCCTCAAATTGAATTCATTTTTATTGTTACCGCGTTCTGTATTAATCAAACTGATTACCTTCGCCGTCGGCCCAAATTGCCCATTGTCTTTCTCTTCCAACGTTTGCTATTATCGTTAACGCCATGTCAATGTCCTGTGTTTCGGCCCCAGTCGATTTGTATTGGGATGTGAGTGCACACCGCGGCCCTTGTTAATAACTTTCGCCCCCCCCCCCCCCCCCCCCGCGCCCCGCTTCCCGCCGGTCGGCCCGCGCCCGATTGAAAAGTTCTAACAATACATTTGTGTTCGATACAGATTTGAGAAATTGGATATAACACCAAAAAGTGCGCAGAAAATCAAACCGGTGCTTGAACGTTGGATGAAGGAAGCCGAAGAGAGGTAAATATCATTGTTTGAGTGAAATTGTGCGTGGTACTATACCGTGTCCGTGTTATTTGGCCCATATTGCTTAGCGACGATGTCGACATTTCTCAAATCTGGACTAACTACGCTTTCCGGCTAGGTTCCCTTCCCACGCGCTCTAATGCTATACCTATCTACTAATAAATTATGCATAAACATTTACACATAATCTCACAGCTATAAATCATGTTACTAATTTTCATTTCTTCGTACTCCAATCGCTATTCTACGTATTTCTTCCATATATTTTCGGCATGCTTGAATAGAAAATAAGTGATCATTGCATGAAATTGCACTTAACCCGACTTAGTATATATTTTAGTTTTAGTTATTTATAGACTAATTGATGTCTCATCATTAATGGAGCACATAGTCACTCTATGATAAGTAACAACCGATAACGTCAAATCTGGAATGAAGGTGAGATTGATCCATTTTTGTTCTTTAGGTTGAACTTTCTTATCTAACAACAATTGGGCCGTCCCCAATTGTTGGTAGATAGTGTGATGGTGAGAGTTCAATCAGATCAATAATAATAGTTCATTTCGGACTATCTTGGTAATACAAATAAATGTTGGTAAATAAATAGTGTTTTATAAAAAAAAAATGAGGCGCCCATTTAGGATTCTTCCACCTATTTAAACATCTTACTTAAACTAAGCCAACCTGTCTAAATGATAAATGGAATTGAAAACCAAACATCGATAGAAATAACTTCTCTGGTTGCAATATTAAGTGACTTATCCAAACATTAGGAGGTACCTAACAGTATCTGTTGAGCTCGTCTAATAATCCAAAGTAAATCTAAAACAAGTAAAACGCGGCGCGATAACAAACCGCGTTCCGTTAACCAGCCACGGTACGAAATCATCATTCCAAATGTGCCAGGTGTCGCTTAAATCTCCGACGTCCCCTTAATGTTGTGTGAGGATGGCTGCGATCGATCGATTTAACATTTTGAATCATTAAAATGCATTATCTGGATGCAGCGGAACCGGCTTTAACATTGCAAATGGTGCGTTGAATTTGCAACGCCCTGTTTCCACTTGGTGGTAATTTTTAACGAGCGTCTCCGTTAACGATAGTCCTTGAATTAATAGCGATTGCCGGTGCCTACTCTTGTCTTTGCGGACGGGATAACTAGCAAATCAGCTGTTTTATAATTCAATTTAAACTGTTTTAATTCGTCGAGTTGACAAATGCCGCTTATGTTCTCTTTTTAGATAGTTTCATGGCGCGTAATTGCCGAGTTTCATTTAGCGGTTAATAAAGACAATATTCGAAATTATTAAGCGGCGATGCCCTCGAGACTGGGTTGATATACCACTCGGTGCGATTATTTTTCAGATTTACGATATTAAAACACTAAGATAAGTTTAATTGAAGCTTAAAATTTAATCATCAGAATCTATCGTATAACTATCATTATAAATGCTTAATTAATAAATATACGACAGAATAAACTGCCTCACATGGTCCGTCGATATTCACTTCCGTTTCAATGCAAGAGTGTCGCTTAGGCCTTAATTCATATACTTTTTAAACTTATTTAGAATACTAAGATGAACAAGACGTAATCTAAACGAACATACAGTTGCTATCTTTAGACAAACGTCTAACATTTCAATTACTTGTTTGTTCATCATTTTATGTTGATACATAGTGTCAATACATAAAAGATAAAAGTTAGTATACGTTTAATAATGTTATATCAAGATTTTCTTTGTTTTCTCCGTCATATAATCGATTCTGTTGGAACTTTGGATAAGTAAAAACAAACAAACTGAACTTGACATAGGACAGTCTTCAAGTCAATATCAGAGAAGGTGCTGGACACCCATCCATCATTTATCTCAGATAAAGATTCATTTATGTAAGAGCATTTAAATGTCGTTGGAATTATGAAACCAGAACAAGGTTCATTATTTCCATTTGACGTATTACAAAATTGTTCTGATTCTAAATATGAAGATGTAGAAACAGTTGTAACATAACATCCGAGAAAATACTGTTATTTTTAGATAATTGGTTGAGTTTTCATTTATTTAACCATGGACTATGTATAAATAAATGAAACACATACACCATGGTATGTGTATGTGTTGCTACTGATAAAAGCTGATAATCGGGCTACATAAAGTCGGTTTTTTAATCTCTGAGACATAACTGGCATTACGTAGGTTGCCAGTTTTTTTGCAATTCTTTAATACATATGTACCACTATTGGAAGTTGACGTTAAAGAAATCATTTTCGATTTTTATAATAAGTTCTCTCGAAAAAATGTGTGGGTACTTAATTGAAACGTAATAACGGAAAATTATTAAGGTTAAGGAGTTAAGGTGCGATGATATTACAGGTATTCATCAATGTAAATAAAATAATGACACCATGTCTAAAAATGTTCTGAATTAATCAGACTTACCACCTGCTTCTATAATAAATATATCAGTAATGTCGTCGACTATCTTGTCCAGACTTCACCTTCAATTTTAACCACGTGAGTCACAGTATTTCTACCTCTGCGGGGTCACTATTTCATTCTATTTGAGTTATTTCTGAAGTTGCAAAATACTGGCAAGAATACATTGAGGACAAGGATGTTTGGAAATGACTCTTGCTCTGCACTTGCAAGACCCCTGGCTGCTGCTGATTTTATACCTAAATAAATGTGTATAATTGCATCAAAAAAAAAAGTAAAAAAAGAACAAGACCGCAGAGTTTCTTGCCGGTTCTTCTCTGTGCAGGTCTAGTTTAGTGAACCGGTGGTAGATTTTTTGGTGACGTTCAATAAGAGCTTAAGTTAGGCTTATATTGAATAAATATACTTTGACTTTGACTTTGACACCCTGTTCAGCAGCCATCTTGTCGACGACACACCTCTCTTGGACCTATTTTGTGCATTCGGGAAATTTCAATTAATTCGGGTTCTAACATTGTCTCTTCTTAAGGAATATAATCTTGATTGCGCCAACTAGTAAAAACACAATCTATTACAAAAACTGCATCGTCTTTTGATAGCGTTTTGTCTGCCAAGTGAGGTAGCCGGGGCCGGGGCGGCTGGTAACGCATTTGCTGCGGGTGTTGGCACTGTACGTGGACGGCGGTTATCACTTAACATCAGATGAAGCTTGCAAATAATGTTTAAAGGCGAACGTTTGTAACGAGAGATGTCTGCCTTTGCTCTTAATATTTTGAATTATTGGCTCTAGGTTTCGGTTTGAGTACAGAGACTAGCACTCAGAAATAAAATGAATCCTAAATATGTACAAATCGATGATCAATAAAACGAGAAAATTAATTATCAGAAAAAACTTGCAATCTCATTTTAATATTTTGTAAACACGTGTAAGTCGATTTCCTATTCTCTTTTAACAAAACCAGTAAATTTCCAATTACGAGGAACACGCTTTGTATTTGTCAAAGGCTGAAGAAAAATAATCCCATAAAGGCTCGCAGTCGAAGCAACAAAGCATCAAGTTCACAACTTGCTTGTAACATTTACCCCATTTTCAAGAACTCTTATAAGAGGCGGTATTTTAAACTTGTGTAACTTTTTTCATTATATGGAATGAATAAACGGTCTTATGGAATTTCGTGGAAAAGTAAACATTGAATATCGATTTCTTATTTCTTTATAAACGCTTGTTACAAATAAAACAAGAAATAATTTACAGTACGTACATCTAATACATCTAGTAAGCTATAGTATAAATAGTAGTAGTAGTAGCTCAGAGGCCTAGTAAGCTGAAGTGGCAATGGGCTGTTCAACCAGCCATATAGGAAAGGAAGGTTCTCGAGTGACGACCTGTGCAAATGTGCGGGTAGTCGATGGATGCAGATGGCTCAGGATCGTGTTTCGTGGTGATTTGTGGCAGAAGCCTATGTTCAACAGTGGACTCAAACATGCTGAAATGATGATGACGATTAATAAAATCTAATAATTGATAATAAATAAAACTAAGTATATACAACATTCAACAGATACATCTTTACAGTGGTAAAGTCAGTAATGCAGATTTTAGGTTCCGAAAATAGTCTACATGAATTAGAAATTTGATAATTTCCTTCGTGACAAACCTTTCGTAAGCCGTTCGCGTTTAGCAAGTATGAAATTAATTTGGGTAAATCGCTTGTGCATGTTCTTTTAATCGTAATTCATAATCTCACTACACGAATCCAAACTATTTTTATGGATTTTCACCTTTTATTTTTGAAATTATTTTTAATAACACTTCCTTGGTCTCCATTGCAGCAAATTAACAGATTATAGCGGTCGTATACTTGCGACGCAAACGGTGAAATCTACAAAGATAGTTTCATTTAACACTTGCATGTTAAACAATATTTGTTAAGAGTAGTATAACTAAGCCGTACGAAGGAGTGGAAATTAGGCGGTGCTGGTTTTCGAATTAATAGTGATGTAGCCGGGGCCCACTTTATGATAACGTGACAACGCATCTGCAACCAGGGTGTTGCAAGGTCAATGGGCGGCGGCTATCACTTAGCGTCAGGTGAACCGCCAGCTGGGTTGCCAACTTCTCACATAAAAAAATTACTGCCAATCAATACACACAGTTTGCAAATGGCGGCAAATTTTAAAGTTTTCTTTTCTTACTCCACAGGTACGCGTCTGGCCAAAATCATTTGACCGACTTCATTGGCATGGAGCCGAGCAAAAAGCGCAAAAGACGGACGTCCTTCACCCCCCAAGCCTTGGAGCTGCTGAACGCTCATTTCGAGAGGAACACGCATCCATCCGGTATGCACACTGTTTTACCGCGTAGCAACCATTCGATCATTTTACACATGCTACAAACACAGTTTATTCCATATCTTATCTTTTTTTAGTATGGACATAATTTTATCTGCCTTAAATGTTTTTGGACTTTTAAAATGTTTGCGCGCACGATTTTTTTTTAAGTTACTGCCTAATTCTTACCGTATATATCTTGTACAGTCACTGACATTTAAAATCTGTGTAGATTATTTCTCAAAAGCGTATTTGTCAGAACGCCGTAACTGTCATAGTTCCTCCTCAAATATGAAATTTTATTAATTACGGTGGTAGGGCCACGCAGCAGCAGGCTCTCCCCGGTAAACCCACGACCTCATAGAAGACCAGCGTAAAGTGGAAGTATAATACTTTCGCGTTTCGTCTGGTGAGTGAGGTGGCTGGAGCCCAATTTTCAAAAGGTTGTCAACGCATCTGCAACCCTTGGGTAAAAAAAGTAAAGTACCAGCCTATAAATGTCCCACTGCTGGGTAAAGGTTTCCTCTGTAGAGAGGTTATCAGGGCATAGTCCGTCACGCTTCCCCACTGCGGATTGGCGGACTTCACACATATTCGAAATATCTTTTTCTTATTATTTCAAATAATATTATTAAATAATATAATGAACTTATTATTTAATATAACGAAAATATGCAGGTTTCCTCACGATGTGTTCCTTCACCGCCCAGCACGTTATAATTCGGCACTTAAAATTAACAATTTCATTGGTGCCCGCACTGGGATAGAACTCAGTTAGCCCAAGTATATGGAATTTAATCAATCAATAGATCAAAATATCTTTATTCAATTAGACGCATGCACGTTCTTAATAATCGTCAAATTTTACAAAAAAAATATTATATATATGTTCGTTAGGTACAAGAGAAAGTGAAGCGAGCTAACACGAAAATGTTTAAGTTCAGTCAACGGTGATAATTTTAATTGAAAAAGGTTTTATATCGTCTCATCAAAGACTCTTGAGCGATTTGTAACTATATGGTTGCGTGTGGGATTGACAGTTTTTTTTTTTTCACTCGCAGGCACAGAAATCACAGGGCTGGCGCACCAGCTAGGTTACGAACGCGAAGTCATCCGGATATGGTTCTGCAACAAGCGGCAGGCGCTGAAGAACACCGTCCGCATGATGTCCAAAGGAATGGTCTAAATGTCGCCAAGCAAAAGTTGCCACACGACCGTATGGGAAGTAAACAGCTGCGGAATAACGTAGAGCGGTTGGATAATGATGTTTATAGTTTTGCTTCGGGCAGCACGTGATTGAAAACGTGTTACTTTTCAGTTCGCATTGATATTTACATGATACTCGATGTTTTCTCTCGGTGGATGTCGTTTGAAAAAAAAAAGAAATTAAAAAAAAAACAACAAGTTTGGCCTTAACACGAATCTGATGCGATTCCAGCCAAGTTATGAAGTAAGTTTTTCTTTTCTTTTGGAAACTTAATTGTAAACACAATTTTCGACTGATATATTCGTCTCGTAGATACTTTTACAATGATATGAACGGTATGCGTAGTTTAAAATAGGTGTTTAGTACAAAAGGCAAAGATCGACTGTCTGCGTTGTAATACTCTTTAAATGTAACCAAAATTAATTTCCATATTACTATTTAAATATTACAACAGCATCAATGTTTAGGATCAAGTAAATTAATCTTATTTACGGCATTAGCCTCGAATTCTTATCATATAAAGCATAAGGTCTAAATTCCTCAAAATTGTGCACACACTCGAGTTCCGTTATTTAATACATTATTATTTGTAATATAATTGCATTTTTGTAAATAAGTACAATAAACTCTCGGACGTCGGCGATAGAGAAGTAGCTAATAGACATTAATTTATTGAAATACTCCTGAGTTTTTCCATTCTTCTTAGTGAATGTTGCACTATCTAGCTATAGGGATCCTAATGATATGGAAGTAGTAGAAATGTGTCGTTTTAGTGGCCCTCTCAGAGATTTTTTCAAATGTTAGTTTCTGTTAATAGATAGACGTAAAGCGATATGTATAGATTGATTACTTATACAGTGTCGCAAATTGTAAATATTGTTTAGTTTATTAAAACGTATTATTAGTTTTATGTACCTATGATGTATAAGTTGTAGCCTTTTAAGATGATTTACATAAATGTGTATTCATCAAGTTGAAATTTTGTTGCGTAATAAGAGCAAGAATGATTTTCACACGACTATCTATATTTGCCTCGATTTACAAATTCGCGAATTGTTTCATTATGATAAGGCATTTTTAATACTGGACACGCGTAACAAGAGGTCTTTCCATTTTATAACTACTCGGAAAATAACGCGTGGCCACTTTTCGGGTCGATACAATAAAAAAAAAACTAATAAAATTACCTCGCATTTGGAAAGTAGATTTTGAAATATTATATACATTGTATAGAGTTTCGGAAAAAATTAAATTATATATTATGTTTTAAATGCCCGAAAAGTGTGCACGCCAATTTAGATAAAAAAATATACCGTATATATTAATTGACTTATGAAAATAACGCTACAATCTATGGATTTCTTTAAAATTTTGTTTAATTTTCGCGTAAGGCCTCGTGTTAAGCGTATCCGGATAGTTCTAAGGCTGTAAATTAACGTATGTTAATGACCAATGAAAACCAACTTGTGATCATTAATATTTGTACTGTTACCTACTACTGTAACAAGAGTCGTTAAAAAATAATATTATAAAAAAATTGAACATATTTTTCGGCTGTTGAAAAAATTGTAAATACAAGATATTAGGGATAATGAAAAAAATAACTATTTGGATTAATATTTAGGAAACAAAGGGGAAAAAAATATTAACGAAATTTATATTTTCAAAAATTATTACAAGTGCAAAAAAATGTGTATTTAATGATGATGACGAGGATAAAGAAGAAATAAAAAAAAACAAAAAGGAACGTTTGGCCATAATCGAAATTTATTCTAAAAATTTTTTTATCGACTACAACACAACACTACAACCACAACAGACAGTAAGGTAAACAGTCAATCGAAAATAGTGCGATGCGATGTTGCCAGTTTTATTTATTTACTTATATTTATGGGAACAGGTTTTTTTTATAAACATTAACATCACGTTAATAACGATCCTAAAGGAACCATTAAAGACGTATATTGCTGAAAAACATCCCATACTATTTCAGAACGTAAACAACCAGCCATGCTATATCAAAAACCTGCTTCCCCACAAACATTAGTGTAATAGAAGTACAAATGATAATTTTAAATATAAAAAGAAACTGCTAGTCCCGTAACAAATAAAGATAATTTAACGGCGAACGGCAAGATCGCGTCGCACCCTGGTTTTCATGATCCGCATGTATCTATAATAAAATAATAGTTTAAAAATACAATTATTAAAGTCTACTTACTACACATAACTTCATCTGTAACACGTATTCAAACCAAACTGTAACAATATGTAATAGTGTATTAATTTTTTTCTTCCTGTAACGGTACCGAACGAAAGACTATGGCTGCTGGTGTGAAGATGAGCAGATTAAAGGCAGATAACTGTTTGACTGATTGTTTTATTGCTACACCTATGTTTACTTATCTTTTTATATATATTGTTAAGTGATAACTGTCGCTGATGGACATCTTTAAAAATGCTTTGCCGCCTTAGTAAAGTGGGCCCCGCCTACCGGTAACTAATCGGTAACTACATAATTGGTTGACTGTGCCGTGTGTACATTTGTGCAATATTAGAAAATGCTTAATATTAGAAGCTGCTGCATGGCCCCACCACCTGGAAGACGATGGTTGCACGTAACTCATGCTTCATGGCAGTCATTGGCGGAGGCCTATGTCCAGCAGTGGTCTCCACGGATACCAACTTAATAATTTTCTCCCTAAATGTAGGCAGAAAAGAATTACAAATAATCAATCATTAAAGTTTGTAGGAAGTAAATCCGAAGCAAAACCTCCTAAATGTTTCTCATTTAAGAAGGTTTTTAGGGGATTTGAGTGGGATTTGAATTGCTTTAGGAGTACATATATTTTTAAAAAAGGTACTCTATGATATATTACAATGATGACGACGTGGTAATGGACGCTAAATTTTTACAAAAAAGTATCAGTAGGACTAGGAACATGCTATTGTTGACTAGAAAATTTTTTCATTAATCAGTAAATAAGTAAAGAAATTAGTGAAACATATTCTTGTCCTTTAGGTGTAGGATATATAGATGATTTTTTTTTATATGTGAAAAGTTGCCAAACGAGCAGACGATTCACCTGGTGTTAAGTGAATACCGCCGCCCATAGACATATGCTACCCCGAGGGTTTGCAAATGCGTTGACAACCTTTTTGGAAATTGGGCTCCGGCTACCTCACTCACCAGACTTACACTCACAATTTAGTCCAATTCAACCCCGATAAGACACAAGTTTGCGCGTTAACCGCTAAAAAGTCCCCATTTGTCGTGACTCCTCATTTTGAGAACACTCCCCTGTCTGTCACAGCTAGTATCGGAATACTTGGCGTCGAAATATCGAGCAATGTCTAGTTCCGCGGTCAATTGGAAAGTAAGGCCAAATTGGCCTCAAAGAAGCTCGGTGTGCTCAGCAAGGCGAGACAGTACTTCACGTCGGCTCAACGCCTAAACCTTTATAAGGCGCAAATTCGGCCCCACATGGAGAACTGCTCTCACCTCTGGGCGGGAACCCCCAGCTTGTTACCAGCTTCTTCCATTTGACCGCATCCAACGTAGGGCAGCTAGGGTTATCGACGATCAAGGTCTTTCCGATCAGCTGATCCTTTGGCTATGCGTAGAGATGTTGGGTCACTCTGCATCTTCTACTGCATCTATCACGGGGAGTGTTCCGAGGAATTGTTTGGATTGATCCCAGCGGCTGAATTTCACCATCGGACATCGCGCCAAAAGTAAAAATTTCATCCACACCACCTCGATGTCCAGCGTTCCACAACAGCGCGATTTTCAAGGCATTTCCTGCCTCGCACAACCACTCTGTGGAACCAGCTGCCGCCGGCGGTCTTTCCGAACCGTTACGACCTGGGAACCTTCAAGAAGAGAGCGTACTCATTCCTAAAAGGCCGGCAACGCATTTGTAAGCCCTCGGGTGTTGCAGATGTCCATGGGCGGCGGTGATCACTTACCATCAGGTGAGCCTCCTGCTCGTTTGCTGCGTTTTTCCCATAAAAAAAAAACCAGACGAAACGCGAAAGTAATTGTCATACTTCCACTTTACGCTGGTCTTCTGAGGTCGTAGTACTTACCCGGACGAGCCTGCCCATTCGTGCAACAGCCGAGGCTGCTGCGTGGCTCTACCACCGTTAAAAGATGTAATAGAAGATTCCCAATTTCAAGTAGTTCAACCTGTCTTCTAAATAAAATACCTCTACTGTCAATGACGATGTATTTGTTTCTGATGAAAATGATGAAGATTTGTCATTAGGAAGTGATGACTGGAAGAAAGGATAATCAGGTGATCATTTGCTTCACTAATTAGATCTACAGTAAACAATGCCTTCGTAAAAATTAACTACATTCATAATAGGCACTCCATCTCCTACAATTATATTATAATGGTTATTCATGCTATAGAAAGAACATCTAAAGAAAATATTGTTTATACAAGGACTGAAAATATAGCAGATCGTGGGATCTTAGAAATCATATTAAGTGCATTCCTAAGATTTGCCGAAGTATATCTAAGTTACCTAAGCCAAGTACCTTGGTCGGATTCTTGTGCCGGACAGAACTAAAATTTCAGTTCAATAAAACACAGCAACAAATATTTCCAAAGAAGGCATACTTATTTGACTTCGGGGGGATAGAGCATAATAGACAAAGCTACCAGAAACATGGTAATTGATATGACTGACCATTACTGAAAAGACTTGTAAGTAAATTTAAATTTTATTCATAGTGAAAATTTCCGGACGAGCCCAATCGTGCAACAGCCGAGGTTGCTGCGTGGCCCTACCACAGTTAAGTCATACGAATATAAATGAACCCATCAAGAAGATTGAAATTTAATAAAGGGGGTCAAGTTAATCCAGATTTTAAGGTGCTACGTGTGCATAGAAAATATGGTACTGTATAATGGGTGAAAAAGATAAACTAATAAATAAAAATAAAATAAAAAATATAAGAGAACAAAGATAGTTTAATCGTAATATCGTTATTATTATGAGTATGGAGTACTCACGCATAATGGTTTTGGAGAAGAATAATCGTTTTCGTTTGTTTTGTGGCTATTTTTACAGTTTCTCTAAGAACTTTCATATGAACAGTTATTAGAAAAATGTGAGTTATTGATTTTGGATTCCAGACCACTCTCACTATGGTCATCCTTTTACACATAAGTATATGGATTAGTTCTCAATATATTCGACTGTATCGAACTTATTAACATGATTATTTATATTGTACCAAGAAGAATTACAAGACCATGCACGCGTGCCCCGAATATTCTGCACTGAAATGTTTAGAAGAACATTTGCTTGGCAATAGGCACTGCTTCATAGAGAGCTAAATAACTCAAAACATTTTAAATTCTTATTTGTTTTTACTTTCACAACATCAGTTTAAAATAAATTTATCAAATTAATACTTAAATCGTAATGTGTGGCTACAAACCGACTTACTCTTTTTATTTTAACTTACTAATATTTTTTTTGCAGACACTAGTGTTAGCCATACGATTAGTAAAATAATTTGAAATTCTATGTTTTATATACATTAATTGTTAATGTAGAACTGAGCCCATGAATATTTCAAAAAACTAGTCTCTTTAAGATTTAATTTTTTCAATTTGCTGAAACATTGTTCTGCGGAAGAAGTAGTTATGTTCAGTTTTCTTAAAATAAATTTTATTTTTTAATTTCTATTTTTTTATAAAAATACTAAATGCTCAATGCGTTTTGAAATATTGTAAAATGTTTAAGGGAAACCTTGAATTCAATTTTCTCGAAATTAGTAAAGAGACATTACACCCTTATCCTTTATTATATTTATTAGGATAACTATATAATAAATGATAAAAATCGTGCCCACAATTTGTCTAGATTATTTCAAAAGTTCTTCCTCTTTAAAGGTGCTTTAAAGTTCATCTCGTACTGGCCTTTTTAGTTTCGTAAAAACTTTTCTCTTCATAGAAATAATCTCGTAACTTAAAAATATTCACGTTTCGATAAGATATATGTCATTGCCAATAATTATTAATCTTCCTAATCATCTTTCTGAATTTTTCCTAAAATATTTCCAATTTTTTAAGGTTAAAGACTATAAAACAAGACTATGCGACATAGATATATAATATTATTAAAAAAATACACTTCAAATTCACTGTACATTGCACAAACAATTCATAAAGTGGAAATTATGAAATTATATTTCCCGCCATGGATAACAAGCAATGACGTCTATCATTTACACGTTTAGCTTCAAATTATTGTTTAAACTTATAAGTTTATTTCTTTCTTGTATTTGTAATTAATGTAATTTATGGAAATTCATATATCATTACCACTAATTATTGATTATAAAAGCACAAAAACTCTTTGTTTAATTTTTAGGACCACTTCATAATGCAAGCGTTTCGTTCTTGCATGTGATCTAACGTTTGGCAGTACATGAATCAAATTCAATATGGCGTAGTTTCGTAAATAGTAAGTGTGCAAAAGTGTGTTATTTAGTTGTAATATTTTATAATTTGCAAACAGAAGCTTTTCATCTGTAAATTTGTAACAATTTTTCACATATCATAATTTTTTAACTTAAAACATTCATTTCTTGTTAAAAATATCCCTAATTTTCACTAAAGAAATGTTCCGATAATATGATCATCTGACAATAATAAATACTAACAAAATGTGAAGTGTATAATGTAATTCCTGTATATAGTATGGCATTACGTCATTTTCGCCAGGAAAACCTCGGAATAATGCTGCGAGGACAACAATCATAAGCACGGGTCATATGAATCACAAGGTTAGGGATTCATTAGCTAATACGACAATGCCTACTGAGTAGCTTCGTCGGGTGCGGGCGGTTTTGATAACAGCAAAGTTTCGTTGACTTGTCTGATAGGAATCCGGTAGTGAGTAATCGATGAAATGATTGAGAGTGTATCACGTCGCGCATTCAGTAGTTCAAGTGGTACATACAACGTGCGCGCATCGGAACTGGCGCGAGAACGTAAACTTAACATCTTCAATGTCACCGTGCATTTTTTGGACGATACCCAGCAATCTTTTCAAATCGAGGTGAGTTCGCAAATATTTACTTATATTCACTAACAAGTTACTTCATAAATGTATAATTTAAATTGAGTTGGTATATATATATATATATATATATATATATATATATATATATATAAATTAAGTATATAATATTATTAAGATATTCTTGTAATGCATGTACATCATTTAAATGTTCTAGATTTCTTATAACTGGTTATAAACTTACTGCCTTTATTATATCTCAAGAATCAATTAAATAAAGTGATTTCCTATGAAAATGTTGATACAAATTTATACGTTAATACAAGATTTTAAGATCTTATAAAATTTTTGTTCTTTATTTACTGAAAGTCCAACATTTTCGGCGAACCATAACTATTTACCAATTATTCAACAAATGTAACCACAACATCATTGAAGTATTCTTATGAATTGATTATATTTCTGTATTAGTTTTTAGATAAAAACAGAATGATTTCCTTATTTTCCAAAAGAGGTTTTGTTTTAAAAATCCATTCACAGTGTCAAATTGCTAAGCTATTGTTTTCGGTCCAGGGGTTGTAGGTAGATTCCTACACGGGACAAGTATTTTTGTGACCCACAGATAATTTTTCTGTTCTGGGTGTTTTTTTTTCTAGGGATGGTCAACCCAGGTAAACATTTAATAAAAACCCTAGCTAAAATCACTTACAAATGGATTTACATGGCTGACCCCACTTGGGTGGGATAAGAGTAGCAGGATTATAATGATTTATTTATACTCATACCATTGCTGATTAAAGTTAAATTTGTCCTTAATAATTTTTAAACACAGCATGTGCTATATTCTAATGAAGTTAAAATATCTTTCTTCCACACAGATGAACATTATCAATGAATTAAAAGAAGAAAAAATATAATTCAAGCCTGACAATATATTTATATTAAAACAAACAACAAATAATAAAAGAATTTATCAACAGCAGCTCTATCTTATCATTAAATTTTATGATTTCAGAAAAAAGCTAAGGGCAGTGTCCTGCTTGAACTTGTGTTTCAACATTTGGAGTTAGTTGAAAAGGATTACTTTGGACTGCAATTCACAGAAAATGGTTCACCTCCCAGTGCAACAAACACCGAGATAACGGTACACATATTATATTATAATCTTATCATATAATGTATTGGTTTTAGTACTCCAATTGTCTCAAAGTTGATAAATAATGAATATATTCCTGTGATGACTTTCAGTTAGCATTCTTATCATTATTTTGAGTTCCTAAATTAATCCTGATAAATAGTGAATTTAATAGTATAATACATTTTATACTTTGGAATTAATATATTTAAAATTATAAATTAAAATTAACGGTCAAAAACACATTATAAAATTAATAACAAAACTATATTCCCAGTACACATTTTCTTTCAGTAATTGAATTCACAAGAATAATGCCAATTCACTATGTCATTAGTGTTAAAAATTATTTGAGGGTTATAATTGTTTTTAATGAATTCTATTTGTCCCTGTATTTAATTTGAAACAGTTCAATTATACCATTAAAAAGGTAACAAAAGATGTCAGTATGTCAGGCTATCAGTTGTTTACAGTATTGATAAAATTCTAGTTTTATCAATATTGTAAACATGCTCACAAAGTCCTATTACTCACAAGACAATGGCACTTAATGTTTTTTTATAGAACAAGGCCCTTTGGGCTTAATTGTTCATTTATTGCATCAACTCAGTGACTCAGACCCAGTGAGTGCAATCTTTATTTAACAAAGGCGCACCCAACAATAACTATTTTTTTTTTTTTGGTTCTTTTTGAATTATTGACGGGATATACTATACCTTAATATTTTTAATTTATAACAGTAGCTTGGATGAATTTGCCTAGGTATCATCATTAATATATATTCTCTAAATAAATAATTTTATCTTTCCTTTGGTTTTTTAATCATAAATTTTTCATTTCTATTTTAAGATTTTTAAAATTTAGTTATGGGAATGATTTAATAATAAATATTGCTTTTTTTTTTTCAGCGCTGGCTAGACAGTAGTAAGTCTGTGAAAAAACAAGTTGGTGCCAATGCACAGTTTTGGCTCGCTGTTCGGTTCTATCCACCAGAGCCAAGCCGCCTATCTGAAGAGTTCACTCGTTATCTGCTCTGTCTTCAGCTGCGGAAACTTCTCCTTGACGGTAGAATGACTGCACCCAAGAACACTGCCTTATTACTTGCATCCTTTACTGTACAAGGTGAGATATATTAATAGATTTTTGTTTAAAAAGCAGGTGGTTATAGTTTGATATCTGTGTACAAATTATTTTAATGTAAAATCAAAGTACATGTAACGGTTTAAAGGTTCACTGTGTAAAATCACTTACCAATTTAAGGCCAACATATGTACATTTCCATTAATTTTAGCTAAATAATGTTTATAAATATGTAATGTGTTAATATATTTTATGAATACCATCTGTTATCTGTTAAAAGTATTAAATTATTAACTAAGCCATGGGACCCATATTGATAAAAAGTATATGGTTATTTAATATGGTATTGAATGGATTCACAAAATGTGTTCATTTTTTAAATAATAAATATATAATCTCTTAACTTCGGCATATCCTCTCATCGAGTATGCCTCAATGTTTGAAGATTAAGAGAGTCTCCTATCAATGTATGTTGCCAGTGAACGGGCACCGGGACTTGGTTCTTCACTGCTGGCCTTATGTGAATGGTCACACTAAGGGAGCTATGGAGCGGGCTTCACTCTTTGTTTCTCTGCTTGATAGAGTTCATAACGAAAACAAAATTTTGCTGGTTCCGATAGACCCCGGCAGCTACTTTTGTACAATATTCCCAAGACTCGACATAAAATGTGAAGATTAGTGTTACGCAAGATGAACGTTACGTTAGGGGCACCCAATTCCAGTAACACCCAAAAGCAAGTCATTACATCATATACGAGCTACCTATATCCCATTGTTACATCCACTCCTCTACAATTAGAATCTTTTGATGGCTCTGTGGCGCAGTTATCAAGGAATTGGCTACGGGTTCGATCCCCGAGCGGGACAACTATTTGTGAGACCCATAGATAGTTGTTTCGCATTTGGGCGTTTGTCCACGTGAAATTTATGTTTGTAAAACGTCCTTACAGCACAGTATAGTGTTATCCTAAAGTGAGGACTATGTTTTTCCAAAGAAAGAAAAGAATAATAAATAGGGCGTGGAGTTCCTCCGCGTTGTGAAACTTCTTGCGGCACTCATTCGCTATCGCTTTGTCTCTTTCTATTCCCCCTCCCCTGGCGCGTTGAACGTTCAACGCAACAGTGCCCCCATGCTGCTCCACGCTCCATGGTACCTTGTTGGAAGCACGCATTAGAAACGCACTTCAAAGCACTTCAAAAAGAGAAGTTAGATCTAACAAAGAACCCCGTCGGGTCACGTGGAACAGTCTGGGAACTAAGGGTTTGAACTATATTGCGTGTGTGTGCGTGGTCTGGGAGCTAAGGTTTGAGCTATATCGCGTGTGTGTGCGTGTGTACGACAGCGGAGCTGGGCGACTACAACGCGGCGGAGCACGGCGGCGGCTACCTGCCCGAGCTGGTGCTGTGCGGGCGGCGCTGCGCCGAGGACGAGCGGCGCGTGCGCGAGCTGCACAAGCTGCACCGCGGCCAGGCGCCCGCCGACGCGGAGGCCAACTTCCTCGAGCACGCGAAGCGGCTCGACTGCTACGGCGTCGAGTCGCACCCCGCCAAGGTGAATCCTTTTTTATTTTTAACGGTGCCCGGCGCAGCTGCCAGTTCCATTTCTTTTTTAAACATACATTAATCATTTTGTTTCTTTTTTGATGTTTAAGCGGCAACCTGCCGGTTCCATTTTCGTTTTGGTTTTTAAATTTTTTTTTTAGAGCATTTAAGCCGATTTGATTCTTCGTTTTTAAATAGTATGCGGTTACGCTCCGTTTTCATTTCCCATCTTTGTTTTTTTTTTTATAGTTACAATTCTTAAGTCGCCTCGTTTGTTTTTTTTTTATATGAATAATCGGCGAGCGAGCGCTCATTGTCATACTTCATATTTCTCACAGTAGATAATTTTCTAGTTAAACGACAGCGCGGTGGCAAAAATGATGTTGTATAAAATAAAATATAGAACGAGAGTTTCGTTTAGTGTTTCTCGCTCTTGTTTCTCTAGAAAGATGTTCGTCTTCATTTTTTGTAACAAGCCAAATTGCAACATTTTACTATTTTTCTGTTTCATCAAAAATCACTGTTTTGTCTTCTTTGTTTACCAAGTTAAGCAAGAAATCATACATAGTGATTAAATTAAAATTTTTATTTCATATGTTGTTATATATCTTGTTAATCAAACGACCGTTTTGCTTTAGGACTACAACGGAAAGGACATATTCATCGGCGTGACGTCGATCGGCATAGTCGTGTTCCAGAACAACATTCGCGTAAACACGTTTTCTTGGAGTAAAATCGTGAAGATTTCTTTCAAGAAGAAACAGTTTTTCATCCAGTTGAAACGCGAGCCTGTAAGTATATTCTTAATATAAGACAATTGTTATCTGCAACATAAAATATATGTCAAAAAAGATGTTTGTAATGGTAAATTAGTGATTACTTTGTGTGGGTGAGCATTGTAATATTCCAAAATGCAATAAAAATAATACAGATAACATGTAGAGGTTTTCGGGTTGTCTGGATATCTGACGCTTTTGCGACAACTTCATGTAAATATTTTAACGTTTCATAATAAATGCACTCCGCCCTAAATATAAATAAAATTGGCTACTAGCAATCTTCTTGTACCTAGCATTTATCCCAGCAATATCCAAGGTCTGCTTTTCTACTTAAACTCCGTCCACTTTGCCCGATATTCGACATCCTCAATGGTCAGTCACTTTAGCCACTAAGCTAAACGGCTGATTGCCACACCGACGAAAAAGTTAACGTCCTCTATCTACATTGTTGTTCAGCATTTGAAGCAATGCTTGGCGCATCTATTGCTATATCCTTTCCAGCATACATTCCCACAGCGGCGGCAATCTTTTCGTACTTTCTCTACAAGTTTTGAAGTGACTAGCAATGAAATCGTTAACTTAAAAAAAATCTATCGTACCGTCCACAGTCGGAGTCGTACGACACGGTGCTCGGCTTCAACATGCGGTCGGGGCGCGCCGCTAAAGCGCTGTGGCGCTGCAGCGTGGAGCGGCACGGCTTCTTCCGGCTGCGCGCGCCGCGGCGGCGGCCGCTGCTCGGGGCGCTGGGCGCGCTGGCGGGGCTGCAGCCGCCGTCCGTGCCGCGCACCGAGACGCAGGCGCTGGAGGACGCGCGCCGCGACCGCTCCGCCAGCCGAGCCTTCTCGAGGTCTCTCCCTTTTCAATCGAACATCGGCATCTTTACATCCTTACTTATAATATTATACTTTTACGGTGGTAGGGCCACGCAGCAGCCTCGGCTGTTGCACGAATGGGCAGGCCCGTCCGGGTAAGTACCACGACCTCACAGAAGACCAGCGTAAAGTGGAAGTATGACAAGTACTTTCGCGTTTCGTCTGGTGAGTGAGGTAGCCGGAGCCCAATTTTCAAAAGGTTGTCAACGCATCTGTAACCCTCGAGTGTAGCAGATGTCTATGGGCGGCGGTATTCACTTACCATCAGGTGAACCGTCTGCTCGTTTGACAACTTTTCGCATAAAAAAAAAAAAATACAGGCGAGTTTGTAGTATGGATGCATGTTTGTTACTCTTTCACGCGAATACTGCTGAATGGGTCCTAATGAAACTTTACAATGATTTAGCTTATACATCAGAATAATACATAGGCTATAATTTATATACATATTTTGTGTATATCTGTCTTTCTGTCTTAATGTTACGCCTTCAGCCTATTCTACGCAGACGTAGTCGCGGGCAACAGCTGGTCTACAATAACAATTATGATATTTTTAGTATGTTCTACGTGGAATTGATATTTATTTTGTTTTATTTTATGAGTTTGGTCTGCACTAGAGCATTGGGTCAGCCTCTAATGACAGTTGTGATATTAAAAATGTGGGCACCTCACTCACCAGACGAAAGTCTTATTGAGACCACAGGGTGAGGCTCGGTGACTCAGGCACGGGGACAAGCACAGTTTATACAAAAATAACAAATGGCCTACGAACCCAAAACGAGTTAGAGACTTTCTATACATGTCTTCACCAATAAAACACTCATCGAAGCAGCCTATAACGAGTTACAGACTCGTTATAGGCTGTGTGACAGTGATGACTCCGTGGCGCTGTTGCCAAGGTATTGGCTTCGGCGTCGGGGGTCGTGGGTTCTATTCCCACACGGGACAACTATTTGTGCGACCCACAGATAGTTGTTTCGCATCTGGGTGTTTGTCCTCGTGCAATTTATGTTTGTAAAACGTCCTTACAACACAGGATAATGTTATCCTAAAGTGAGGGCAATGTTTTTAAAAAAAAAAAAACAAACAAACAAACAAACAAAGACTTTCTATACATGTCTTCACCAATAAAACACTCATCGAAGCCACTCAATATGGGTACGAGGTTTAAAAAAAGTGTTACCTTAACAGCTTATAACTGTCCTGCTTAGCTCCAACCAGCCTATATCTAAGCGCCTTCCGTTCCAGACGCAGCAGCTCCCGCACGCGTGACCGCTCAGCGGGCGCGTGCGCAGCCTCGCCCGCGCTCGGCGCGAATGGCGCGCGCGGCTCCCGCGTCACGCACGACGAGCCGCCGCCGCGCCCCGCCTGGGGCGACGCCACGCCGCCCGAGCAAGAGTGAGCCCTATTCCCACTCGATACGGTCCGATTTGCAATAGCCGCGGCTCGTTCGCGCTTGGGCGAACTCGGCTCTGCGTTCGATGGATAATAGTGAGCTTTATTCCCACTCGATACGGTCCCATTTGCAGTAGCCGCGGCTCGTTTACGCTTGGGCGAACTCGGCTCTGCGTTCGATGGATAATAGTGAGCTTTATTCCCACTCGATACGGTACCATTTGCAGTAGCCGCGGCTCGTTCACGCTTGGGCGAACTCGGCTCTGCGTTCGATGGATAATAGTGAGCTTTATTCCCACTCGATACGGTCCGATTTGCAATAGCCGCGGCTCGTTTACGCTTGGGCGAACTCGGCTCTGCGTTCGATGGATAATAGTGAGCTTTATTCCCACTCGATACGGTCCCATTTGCAGTAGCCGCGGCTCGTTTACGCTTGGGCGAACTCGGCTCTGCGTTCGATGGATAATAGTGAGCTTTATTCCCACTCGATACGGTCCGATTTGCAGTAGCCGCGGCTCGTTTACGCTTGGGCGAACTCGGCTCTGCGTTCGATGGATAATAGTGAGCCTTACTCCCACAAGCTATGGGGTCTGACTTGCATTAGACGCGAAAGAGTCGTTTACGGATGGTTGAACTCGGCTCTGCGTTAAACAAGCAAGAGTGAGCCCTATTCCCACTCGATACGGTCCGTTTTTCAATAGCCGCGGCTCGTTCACGCCTGGGCGAACTCGGCTCTGCGTTCGATGGATAATAGTGAGCTTTATTCCCACTCGATACGATCTGATTTGCAGTAGCCGCGGCTCGTTTACGCTTGGGCGAACTCGGCTCTGCGTTCGATGGATAATAGTGAGCTTTATTCCCACTCGATACGGTCCGATTTGCAATAGCCGCGGCTCGTTCACGCTTGGGCGAACTCGGCTCTGCGTTCGATGGATAATAGTGAGCTTTATTCCCACTCGATACGGTCCGATTTGCAGTAGCCGCGGCTCGTTTACGCTTGGGCGAACTCGGCTCTGCGTTCGATGGATAATAGTGAGCTTTATTCCCACTCGATACGGTCCGATTTGCAGTAGCCGCGGCTCGTTTACGCTTGGGCGAACTCGGCTCTGCGTTCGATGGATAATAGTGAGCCTTACTCCCACAAGCTATGGGGTCTGACTTGCATTAGACGCGAAAGAGTCGTTTACGGATGGTTGAACTCTGCTCTGCGTTTAACAAGCAAGAGTGAGCCCTATTCCCACTCGATACGGTCCGATTTGCAATAGTCACGACTCGTTTACGCTTGGGTGAACTCGGCTCTGCGTTCGACGATTAAGAGTGAGCTTTATTCCCACGCGCTACGGTCCGGTTTGCATTAGCCGCGATAGATTTCTTTACGGATGGTTGAACCAGGCTCTGTGTTTAATAAGCAAGAGTGAGTCCTATTCCTACTCGCTGCGGTTCAATTTGCAATAGCCGCGGAAGACACGTTAACGGATGTGTGAACTCGATTTTGCGTTTGATGAACGAGAGTGAGCTTGATTCCTACAATGGTTCGATTTGCATTAGCCGCAAAAGACTCGTTTACAAAATGTTTATAAGATAAAAATGACGAGCTGTTCGGTTGTTCCGAACATCGCTCTATCATTACTGTTGCATCTCATAGGAGTCATATTTACCTCGTCTTTATCACTACATACTATAAAAACAAAGTCGTCCCGCTGTCTGTCTGTCCCTATGTATGCTTAGATCTTTAAACCTACACAATGGATCTTGATGCGTTTTTTTTTACTGGATAGAGTGATCCAAGAGGAAGGTTTATATGTATAATACATTAAATATATAATATGATTGGTTTTGATCATGATGCAATCACCGCAGGGTGGGCCTCCTGGAGAGCGTGCTGCGCGTGCCGCTGTCGTACGCGGACGAGTCGGAGTCGTCGGAGTGCGCGGAGGGCGAGGTGGCGGTGCGGCTCGCGGCCGGCGCGGACGGCCGGTTCGGGTTCAACGTGCGCGGCGGCGGCGGCGCGCCGGTGCTGGTGTCGCGCGTCGCGCCGCGCACGCGCTCGCTGCTGCAGGAGGGCGACCAGGTGCGACCGCGGCTGTGTTGCGTGCGCTGGCGAGGTCCGATGTGGGCGCACCTTTATGTGGCCACTGTTGAGCTCTACGGTGGCGCGGTCGGATATGTGCGCAGCATAATGTCTGCACTGTTGAGATTTACGGTGGCGAGGTCGGATGTGTGTGCGCCTTTATGTCGCTGATGTTATATATACGATAGCTGGGTCGGATGTGTTCGCATCTTTATGTCGCCGGTGTTATATATACGGTAGCGGGGTCGGATGTGTTCGCATCTTATGTCGTCATTGTTGAGATCTGCGGTGGCGAGGTCAGATGTGTGCACACCTTTATGTCGTTACTAATGAGATATGCGATGGTGAGGTCGGTTGTGTGCGCACGTGTATGTTGTACTTGTTTAAGATTGCGATGGTGAGGTAAGACTTGTGCGTAGTTTTGTTTCGCTCATGTTAAATCTAAGGTGATGGATGAGGGCAGATGTGTGCGCAGCTTTAGTTCGTTAATTGTAGATTTACGGTGTTGAGGTCAGATATGTACGCAGCATTATTTCGTGCGCGTTAGATCTACGGTGAAGAGGTCAGATGTGTGCACAGCTTTATTTCGCGTGCGTTAAATCAACGGTGGCAAGATCAGATGTGTCGCCTTTGCGTCGCCATTGTTAAGATCGACGGTAGCGGAGTCAGATGTGTGCGTAGCTTTATTTCGCTCGTGTTAAGATTATGGCAGCGACCTAAGATGTATATTCTATAGCATTATGTAATTCTTAGTATGTTTTTCTATAGCGAGCCAGTATGTCGCCTTTGTGCTATTCTGTAAGGGGGTTACCGTGTGTGTGCGTCTTTATATAATTTTCTCTAGCATCGTAACAATGATGATGCACTCATTCATTTAAATTTTGTAAAATATCTGCACCGCCAATGTACGCTCAGCGTGATACTAGCTTTTTAAAATAAGGCATACAGGAATGTTGTTCTACATAACTGTAACGGAAAGATTCCCTAATGCCAGGCATGTCCCTATACCCTAAATAAATTGTTTGTGTATTTTTATTATAATATATTCAGTAATAAGATTATTTATAATATGTTGCAGGTGATATCAATAAACGACAACGATGTAGAGGAAATGACACACGACGAAGTTGTACAGCTGATTAGGAATACGAAAGGAGTTCTTACATTAGTCGTCAAACCCAATGGTTAGTGCACAAAAATTTTGGGGGGTGTGATGATACACTATACATGATGGCTTTTTTAAACGTGCCCAAATTCACACTGGAGGTTCAGACTCGGTAGTATAATCGTTTATTGCAAAAAAAAAAAGAAACTATTTTTTTCAAAAAATTGCCATACCATTCCCTAAAAATCAAAACTTGTTGACAATGCGGTAGTCCTTACTAATATTATAAACGCGAAAGTTTGTATGTACGGATGGATGTTTGTTATTCTTTCACGCAAATACTACTGAATGAATTCTAATGAAACTTTACAATAATATAGCTTATACATCAGAATAAGACATAGGCTATAATTTATATACATATTGTCTTTCTGTCTGAATGTTACGCCTTCAGCCTATTCTACGCAGAGGTAGTCGCGGGCAGCAGCTAGTCATTCATAAATGCGTCGTGTACTTTTGAAACGAACTTGTGTGCGCGTTAGTTCGTTACGATATATCGCGCGTAAAAGAAATGAGTCGCCTATAAATCAGGCACTTTTAAAGATAAGCTCAAATGAATTTATGCGTAGAATGTGAACAAAAAGAAACTGTTGTCCGGCAGCGGTGTACTCGGCGGAGGAGGGCGGGTGCGCGGAGGAGCCGGAGGTGTGCTTCGTGCCGCTGGGCGGGTGCGGCGCGCCGGGCCAGGCGGGCGAGCAGTCGCTGCTGCTGCTGGGCGACGGGCTGGCGTCGGGCGCGGCGCTGCGCCAGTACGAGGCGCTCGTGCGCCGCCTCGAGCTGCCCGCGGCCGCCGCGCGCCGCCCCGCCAACCTCGCCAAGAACAGATACCGGGACATCGCGCCCTGTACGTGCCGCCGGCCCCGCTCGGCTTTTTTTTTCCTTAGGCCCAAACCAAGGGACCAATTCTCGTCAGCTGTGCTGAGGTAAAATAGAAAGGGAATTTTCAAGAGCCCACGTTATTAATGCTTTCAGAGTACTCAAAGATAAGTTTTGTTAACCTACCTTACCACATAGTTTGTTTATTTTTTTTTAGAATTAATGCTAGTTTTCACCGCATATAATTTACACAACATTCTCTAGTCTCAAACTAAGCAACGCTTGCACTATGGGTAATACTTAACTCATAAACTACTTAAACAGACTACGGATACAGCAAGTAAGCTGGTGGTACACCTGATGTTAAGTAATAACTGTCGTCCATTGACATTTTTTATAACAATTAATTTCAGATAAATTTCAGGATATATATTACGATTAATAAAAAAAAATATTTATATATATAATAATTGCTAAGTGTGTTATTCCCTCTTTCCTCGGCAGATGACGCCACGCGTGTGGTACTAAAAAACGGACCTACGGGCGATTACATCAATGCCTCATACATCAATATGGAAATACCAAACTCCGATAACATCCTGACTTATATTGCAACACAAGGTATTTCAACCACATATTTTTACATCATTCAACAGAAAACGCCAAGAAATTAGTTGTACCTAACTCATTAAAAAACAACTAAAGATCTTTGACTCACAATAAAAATGCAGGAAATATTGGGTCAAATTATTAATTAACCCACATTTGATTAATAGGAGTTATAGTTTTTTCAAGACAGACTGTTATCTATCACAATAGAGACTTATCTGTGTAACTTAACTCATGTCACTTACTAAAATTGTCATAAAATATTTTCTACATGTCTTAAGTTACATCTTATGTGCAAAAAATGAAAAAAGTAGATAAGACTTGGAGATTTTCGTGCGGTGAGGATGTTAACCGTTTAGCTTATTGGCTATAACGTTTGGGCGTCCACCCAGAAGGCGCTGGTTCGGTTCCTGACGGTGGCGAAATTTTTTTTAGCTATTTATGTATACATTCTAAGTTTCACCTTAAGTGCAGAGAATAATAATTAATAATAATAATACTTAAAAAATAAAAATTAAATAGCACTTATTATCATTACTAACCCTATAAATATCAAAAGATTTCGCAGGTTGTTGTTCTTGTGATAGTGTGACAAAGTGCATAATGCTTTCGACAGGTCCGCTAGCTTCAACGGTGGGGGACTTCTGGCAAATGGTCTGGGAGAGCGAGAGCAGTCTCATAGTGATGTTAACAGTGCTGGTGGAAAGAGGCAGAGCAAAGTGCCACCAATACTGGCCCAAAGTTGGCACGACGCCCCTCAAGGCCACGGACTCCTTAACTATACTCACCAATAGCGAGCAAAACCATGGCCATTACATTAGGAGAGAAATGACAATTAAGGTATTTAAATAAGTGAAAGGATAAAATTAAGTGTTATAATTCCTAATCTGAAATAAATATAAACAGAAATCATATATTCTAATGAAATCATACATTAATCTAAACTTATTCAGTGAATTAATAATATGCAATTTTATCGAACATTTTTATTTTTTAGTCATTTAATTATTTGTCATTTTGTTCTCTGTTCTATTATTAATGTTTGTTAACTTACTTTTTTATAGACATATGTTTTAATATTATTTAAACATTCTGTTATAAAATTTTTTCAATTTTATTTTATGAATATAATAATTAAGAAATTTGAAAATGTATACTGACGAACATATCATATTTGCACACCCTACAAAATGGGTAGAATATAGCAATAAAAATTACTGTACTGTACACCTCATGCCTAACCTATATTTCGCAAATAAATACATTATTATTATTATTATTATTCTGGATAAAGAACAGTACTGAATAAATAAATCTTTTTATAAATACTGTTAAGGAAAGTTTATAACTATCTGTATAGTAAAATAGCACCCCTTAGCTGAACACTGAAATTGTTGAAACCAAGTTTTATAAAAAAATTACAACCAAACAAAAAACCTTAGACAAAATAGAGACAAGACAGTATTTTCTGCGGACCCATTGCCTAAGCTATACAAAGTGCAAATTTTCAATAGAGTTCATAAAAGAGCGGAGAAAGAATTTGAATAAATTTTGTATGGAATCACATAGGACTTAACCAACGGAGTTGTGCGGAAACAAAAATAAAAACGTACAACTGAATTCACAACCTCCTTTTTTGAAGTCTGTAGAAAATATATATCATTTTGTAACCTTAATAAAGAGAGATCCTTTGAATTTCCAGGAGACCGGCGGCGCTTCCCGCAACGTGACGCAGCTGCAGTACACGGCGTGGCCGGACCACGGTGTGCCAGAGGACCCGGCCGCCTTCGTTAGCTTCACGCAGCTCTGCTCCAAGCTGAGGAACCAGCGGGCAGGTCCGTGCAGGATCCCCCTCACATTCTCCTGCCCCTACCCAAGAGGAGGCGAATGGCAATGCTGAAATCGTTACTCAGTAGATTTATGCGACGAGGCGGCAAGCGAGCTGGTGAATCGCCTGGCTTTTAAGCGGTAACCGCCGCCCATGGACGTTTGCAACACTAGAGTTGCAAAGGAGTTAAAGCGTAATGAGGAAAACTGGTTTATTCCTGTTTTAGTTTGTAGTAATATTACACTACAGCAAATGCAAAAAACAACTGCGAGCAGATTTATATGATAATCAGATTTGATAGTCAAGTATGTTGTTCTTGATTACCGATTAGCTTGATTTTCTCCGGCCAGATGGTTTTTACTAATATGTCTTTACGTTTCCAGTAGGTTCCCCAATGCCCTAAGATGGCTAATGCACGTCTGTTTATATTGCACTACTACAAATCCAAAAATTACTCCAATTCGATTTATCTACTGACTGTCTGATCTGGCAGCCAAATGCATGCTTCACTGTCGAATTCAGCTTGATGATTTAGTATGTTAAATAATCTTAGCTGCCTAAAGCACCTCTGTTCATACTGTACTACTACAAATGCAAAAACTAACAGTGGTAGGGCCACGCAACATTGAATACTGTTACACGAATGGGCCGGTCCATCCGGGTAAGTACCACGACCTCACAGAAGACCGCCGTAAAGTAGAAATGTTACACTTTATTTATATGAAAAGTTGCCAAACGAGCAGACGGTTCACCTGATGTTAAGTGAATATGGCCGCCGCCCATGGACATCTGCTACACCCGAGGGTTTGCAGATGCGTTGACAACCTTTTTGGAAATTGGGCTCCGGCTACCTCACTCACCAGACGAAACGCGAAAGTATTATACTTCCACTTGACGCCGGTCTTCTGTGAGGTCGTGGTACTTACCCGGACGAGCCTACCCATTCGTGCAACAGCCGAGGCTGCTGCGTGGCCCTACCACCGTTTAAACGTCTGTTTGTGTTCCACTACTGCGAATTGTGAAACGAGCCTCTTCGCGCACAGGGCCGGCGGGGGGCGAGGAGTGCTTAGAGTGCGAGCGCTCGCTGTGCCCGCCGACGGTGGTGCACTGCTCGGCGGGCGTGGGCCGCACGGGCGCGCTGGTGCTGGCCGAGACGGCGCTGCGGCTGCTCGCGCTGCGCCAGCCGCTCTACCCGCTCGACCTGGTGCGCGCCATGCGCCAGCAACGGCCCATGTGCATACAGAACGCCGTGAGTAAAGACGGTGGTTGACATTCGACGTCAGTTTGCGATGTTGGCGTGCGTCGGTGAAACGTCTGACATCGGGTGTCACCGACGCCGACCACCGAATTGGTAACGAACATCACCGGATACTGCCGATCGCTGTTCGTTGTTCACGCCGATTACCGCCTCGGGCGTGTTAAGAGCGCTGTGAGTCTTCACTTTCCTCGTCCTTGCCTGCAAAGTCAAAGTGAACATTGCTTTATTCAGTATAGGTCTAATTTAAGCTCTTTTCAAAAGACAGCTACCATCGGTTCACTATACTATACCTTACCAGAGGAGAACCGGCAGGAAACTGCTGTCTTGTTATCTACAATTATTACAAGTATACAATGTTATTTAAGTATAAAATCCATAGCAGGAAAGGGAAGAGCAGACAAAGTAAAGTAAGCCTATTTAAATCCCACTGCTGGGCAAAGTCCTCCTCTGTGCTGAGGATGTTAAGGACATAGTTCACCATGCGACACCGCTGCGAATTGACGGACTGCATATATTTTTTATTATTTCAAATATTTATGTTATTTTTTCGAAAATATGTAGGTTTCTTCACGATTTTTCCCTTCACATGATTTCATTGGTGTCGACACCAGGATTTGTTTTGGTTGCTGGAACACATTTAATTTAAAGCGATAGCCCAGATACTTGAGTTATAATGGCTCTCATTAGCTCATCTCATCCCTAGCCACGGTTATCATCCATAACCTACGGTGCGAATTTTGAACTGTGGCTAATATAACATATATAATGTGCTAATTAAGGCTTTTCATTTCATACCCGACACAGCATAATTAAAAAAAAAATTAAGTTCTGGACTGTGTACTTTAGAGGGCGCCATATGCAGTGGGACGCTTAATGGGACGTCATAACCTCTAACTAGGGGACCAAGACGCTTCCAACGATACCTCATCTGTCAAACTATAATGAGTAGTTTAGAGTTGAGGGGGAACAGACATACATGCATACTGGTCATAGAAATAACTCTGCCGTAGTCAGGTATAAATTAATTTTCGGTTTGTTCACAGAGCCAGTATAAGTTCGTCTGCGAGAGCATACAAATGGCGTACGCTCAGGGCCTGACGAAAGCCGACGGGGAGAACAACTGATCGTGCCAGGTCTTGCCGATAGAGGACCACTCCATCATACCTGGGCGGTGGTGCTGCCGGTGACCCTGACGCTAGCGGCGCCCGTAACGGCTCAGGATTAACTCGCCATCGGAGTGTCCATAAATAATAGACTCAAGTGACTGTTTTAGTTTAGTGTTGACCGCTGCTCGAAGTCGTGTTTTTATAAGATCTGTTTGGAACGGCTAGTCTATTTGCTAACTACAATATTCTCATCTTTAAAAGTCTTAGCCACAATTTGATACATGGCTTATGGCCTTACTCCGAGACCTCAATTAGGACTTAAATTAAATTGGTTCATATAAAACGCTCGGCCTGAAACTCATATTCTGAGCAGTATCTTAATTTGTGTGGACTTATTTAGTCAACACTATATTGATTCAAGTTCAATTGAGTGTTTAGAAATCAACCTATTGTTTTTTGCATGACATTAGATTGAGAGAGCATAACTAATGGTCTATTGTGTGATGTACTTCATAAAAATTGTATTTTATATATTTCAATTAATGATAATCTATGGAATTCTCTTTTGAATGAGATCAGGACTGTTTAGCAACTGTACCGACTTGATATGAATTCTTTAGTCAAGTCAATGTATTGCATAATAGATTAAATGTTAGCTAGAATTAATTAAATCTGTATTGTGAAGATATTATATACACTTAAGTATATTACAAAAAAAATTGTTAAGCTGAATGATCATGAGTTTTGCCATAATAATAATTAATTTAATATATTTTATATACTTCATGGATGATTAGAATAAATAGTGTTTGATGGAAAAGTTGGAAATAAGGATCTTACATTTGGAATAACTTATTTTCAGTAATTCTTTGTAGCCTTCTATTATTGCAACAATTGTTAGTGGTGATTCTATAAAATATTACCATCAACCATTTCAAAAGTATTCAAAATAAATGTTACATTATAAACATGTAGATCAGTCTGGCAGTCAAGTGCTGGCCAGTTCTAAATAAAAAAAAATTTACGCATATGATATCGATATTAAGTTCATTATTAGCATTTGACAAGTTGTATTTACTTTCTCACTGTGTCATTAACATGCACATGCAATATGAACCCTAAAACATATGTAGTTTAGTTTATCTATATTGTTTTCTAAATATATGTATATTGGTTAATATCAAAACTGAAACAACATATCAGACTTTTATAAAGATCGTAGTTTTAAGGTACTATTTATTTCGTTCTTGCTTAAAAATTTAATTTATTATTAGATTAGTTTTTCATAAATTACGCATTCTGTGATCTGTCTCCAGTCGAAAGAGATCTATAGGTGGGTTTGATCTTGCCTTTTATTACGAATTTAATAACTTATGTACATGCTATTATTATTTTTGTGTATTTTTGTATGGAATTAACATTTGTGGTTGTGTGAAGTAAGAACTGATGACACGAACGTTTTAGTTTGTTTATACAATACACGTGTTTTGTATAATTTGTATTACATTATTTTCGATACCGCAAACTTCTTTCTTGGTTGTTTCCCAAGTAAAGTAAACCAACCAATGTGTTCTTGTGCGCAAGCAATTCGGGACCTTATTGTAACCCGTTAAAGGTGAAAGTGACTGCTAGTTAGTTAATTTTAGATGTAATAGCGTAAAGTATCTGGTCTAAAATTAAGAACATTTGAATTCTCTCAACGTGTATTCAACACAAACAAATACGTATGAATATTACTTAGATTGTTTCGTATACGTTTTGTATGCGCGTATATTTTTAGATACAACCACTTATATACTAGAATGTATTTGTGCCGAAATTAAAATAAATCACGTGACTTGTTTTCTATTTTTCCTTACGATGCCTCGAAATTTCATCCAGACTGTATGAGATACAGATGATTGTAATATGCGCCTTTAATAACTCTGTCATTAAAGGCGCATGTGGAGTCCTTCAAGGCAATAGACAGATGCCATAGACGAAAGAGTACGTAGTGCCATTATTTTGTGTGAAATAGTAATATTATTGCAAGAGTAACCCGACACCAAATGAAACTATCCCGATACTAATAAACTATTTATGTCATTTTAGCGTTACTACCCGTAACTTGCTCTCAACCACCAAAGGTTAACTGGAAGAAAATGCTATTTAGCATTAAGTTCGCCTTTGTACAAACTTTTAGTACAATAAAGAATATATAAATAAAACAAACTATGTTTACGGATTTATCGCGTTTATTTTTGTTGTAATTCCCGACGTTTCGAACCCTTTACGGCGTTCATGGTCACGGGACATACTGAGGCTTGATCTTGATTGACTCTGCGTTTCTATTACTTAAAACATCACAGAATAAATAAGTCTGCAGTATGTGAGCACACTTTAATCGCCCCAACATCAAGTTTGATAGACCACAGATCCTTGCAAAATAACACCGATTCCTCCCAAGGATGATTCGCGAGGCTATTGAAATTAAAAAACACCCAAATTTCAATAGAGAAGAAGGTCGGGTGCTACCATCAGCTTGGGATCCTATTATTAATAAAATGAAATCTAGGCCCAAACGAACCACTACTGCAAGACAAGATAAAATTAGTATGTTCTGCGTAGATCGAAAAATCGATAGATAATAGAAAAACTAATAGTTTAAAAACTGGCGGTAGCACGGATTAAAAAATGACACTCAGACGTCCAACGCCTCAGTCTGTCCCGTGACCATGAACGCCGTAAAGGGTTCAAAGCTTCGGAAATTAAAATTAAAAATAAACGCGAGAAATCCGTAAAAATTAGTTTAATTTATAATGTGTAATCGTGTAAATACAAGAAATTATTATAAAAAGTAACACGATTTACACCGAGGTTACGATTTGGGATAGTAAATATGTATGGTGAGTAAAGTATTTCTTTTAAGTTTATTTCAATGACTTATAGTCATTGGACACATAACTGCCTATATATATCCTATTGCTGGGGAAAGACCTCTACATAGGGTATCACGACATTCCACTACGCGACCCCACTGGGTATTGGCAGCGGGACTTGATTTTGTTTTTTATGTGAAAAGACGGCAGACGGTTCGCCTGATGTTAAGTGAATACCGCCGCCCGTGGACATCTGATACACCCGAAGGTTGCAGATGCGCTGATAACCTTTTGGAAAATTGGGCTCCGGCCACCTCACTCACCAGACGAAACGCGAAAATATTATACTTCCACTTTACGCCGGTATTCTGTGAGTCGTGGTACTTACCCGGACGAGCCTGCCCATTCGTGCAACAGCCGAGGCTACTGCGTGGCCCTACCACCGTAGAACTATAAAATTTTAGGGATAAATTTAATCCACGCTTCTGACCAGATGTATTCGTACATCCCCTGTAGCAACATACCCTTTTTACTTTACATCAGGCTTCGAATTCTTGTGTGCTATGATAGGGCCCCGGTGTGGTCTAAAATGGCATTGGCTATGCTCTGTATATCTCTGCGTGATAATGTTCTCAACGAAGACATCCGCAGTAGAACAAAATAACCGACATAGCTCAAAATCTTATTAGGCTGAAGTGGCGATGGGCCGGCCATATAGCTCGTAGAACCGATAACAGTACAATACATACGTAACAAAGGTTCTCTCGATTGATTATTTGGAAAAAAATGCTTGCCGCCAGGTATATTACTTCGAACTGATTCTACTCTTTTGACCGCATACTCTTGTAAGAGTAACAAAAATAAAACGTGGAACCAATGGATTAAATGGTTAATTAAAACTATTGTATAACACCTATAACGTGAACTTATATCAACATGTTCATTTTTCGTTAGCTTGTGCATTCCTTTTCCCCGCCCAGGTGGTACATTAATGAGGTCACATCACAACTAATTACTAGTGGAAAAGAAGATCTATTCCGAAAATGACAAAACTTCAACCTTCCAAAGCTTCGTCCAAATACTATACGAAACGAGATCAGTCAGATGAGCTTGATGTTACAGAGCAGCATTGACACGAAGCAATTATGGTTTCGATATTTTTCTAACAGTCCCGAGTTCTGTTTGCTCTTTGTTTGATGAAACTTATATAGATGAAACAAATCATTCTTAGGGGCTAACCCTAAGAATGATTTGTTTCGAAAGCATAGAATGGGCTGCCGGTTGACACTCAATGATTTCATGGTTTGAACTGTTTTGCTTCAAACTTTTACAGATCGTAATTCATCTCTGTTACATATAATATTACATTTTTGAACAAACTATATGGATATTAGTAGTCTACTTCTTTTTATTAATGGATTGCTTTGTGAGTTATCGCATTTCCGCCAATGTTAATTTGTACTTAAAATTCTCAATTTTATAATCTCACTATTCTAATTTCATTTCAAAATTTAATAATTTTTACTGACGTAGTTGCCATAGTTGCCATAGAGTTGTCAAATGTATGAGGGATATCGAAACAGAGTCTTTTGAAAATTGATCTTTTCATGGGTATTGGAAAATGGTCTATTAAGTTATATTTTATTCCATTTAACTCCGTCAAAACTTACGTTACTTATTTCTCGCATGAAGTTTTGACAATCCAAGCTTTCTTTAAAAATTTATTTCATGGCATTGGCACTAAGTAAGCCTTTATTTGGTATGTGACAATATTTTATAACGTAGTTGGATATTCGATACATGAGCAAAATCGATAGACAAATTATTCGAAAACTGATTTTATTCATCACTGACTCTTGGAAAAATCAAAGCATTTATTATATAAGTACTAGCTGCTGCCCGCGACTACGTCTACGTATAATAGGCTGAAGGCGTAACATTCAGACAGATATACATAAAATATGTATATAAATTATAGCCTATGTGTTATTCTGATGTATAAGCTATATTATTGTAAAGTTTCATTAGAATCCATTTAGTATTATTTGCGTGAAAGGGTAACAAACATCCATCCATACATACAAACTTTCGCGTTTATAATATTAGCAATGATTACTTTTAATTGGGCTTATGTAAGAAAAACCAAGTGCGACTCGG